TCGTATCGAACCATAGCAAGCAGTAGGCAGAAAATAGACGTTTTAAACTTCGATGTTTTTTTTTGTATTTAACCATTACTAACCCTTTACTAGGTAAACAAACTTTAATAATATTTTTTTATTGTAAAGAACTATCACAGGGAGCAAACATTCTTTGGTGTGTTTTTATTTTTAATTTTATAATAAAAGAATCGATACTAGGAGAACATCTCATGATTTGCTTATATTAAAATGAATTAATTATCTAGTACTATTTTAAATCATGAAAATCTCGTGTTTAAAACACAATCTATTAGTGTGATTTCTGGGAATGGGACTAATCCCACCCACACGCCCACCACTGTAACTCCTGTACACCAGGATCCACAGCAGTGACCCACGAACACTCCGAGTCCACGAACACTCGGGAAGTCCCAGGAAGAAATTAAACTGTCTTGGAACCCGCAACGAAATTAATCAGAAGAAAATTGGAGGAGTTGGAAATACAGTAAATCCACTTCCCTCCTTAGCAAAGCGGGAGACAAATGAAGTAAAAATGGGCATACACCCTTTTAAACAGGGAAGCACCACGGCCACAAATATTACGGGTCCTACGTAAGCTATGTTTGATTTCTATAATATGTATGGCAGAATCGCCTAAACGCACGGAAATTCACCCTAGTTCTTTTCTTTTTCTTTTTTCTTTTTTTTCTTTTTTTTTTTTTTTAAAAGACAACTCCCGCACTAGGAATAAATCCTGTGTCGCGGGGGACTTTACAAACATACATGAAACGGACACAAAGTACACCCAGACTCAGAACAACAATTTGTGGATCACACAAAGTGTTGGTCCATGTGGGGTTTGAACCCACAACACTCGGCGTAATAGAAAGCGGCGTGGCGACCGCTTTAACCACTACGCCATCCGTGCAGTCAAAATCCCCATAGTATACCGCCCCAGATGTCACCTGCAAGCTATTCAGCATTCTATTACGTTCATTATACCAAAGACTACATTCCCAGAGGATATGATGAGCAGACTGTTCATAGTGAGAGTTAGGTGTTGAGCATTGACACAATGGTGACTCGACTAATTTAAATGAATAAAGCTTGCTCTTAAAGTTACCATGACCCGTAAGAAATTGAGCGACACAGTGATCCACCTCAAGCCATATCCTCGACAACCGTTCGCGAACAGATGGAAAGAATTGGTAAAGATGGCGCCCCTTGGATGATTCATCCCAGCGTTGCTGCCATTCGTCTATGAGGTCATTATAGACATCGGGCTGCTGTTGAAGCAATCTTGTAATTTTACCGCGATCCCGCGCGCCCAAAAAATCGCATTCCATGTTTTGTTGTCTTGAATAGTACATGGCTGCACGTCTCTGCACCTCGAGATCGACCGGAAGCACACCCGCCAACACCGGCAAAGCCTCAGTGCTAACCGTCCTATATGCCTTACACAAGAATATCAGTGCAAGTCGTTGGCCTTGTAACAGTTTGCGACGGACAGCGCCTACGGTCGCCCTGTCGGCCCATACAGGTGCACCATAGCACATAGAACCTAAATAAGTAGCTCCGTATATGATCTTTAATGTATTAAATGATAGACCCCATGTCGCAGTTGATATCCTTGTCAATGCACAGAAACTCTTTTTAGACTTTTCATTAACTATTTTAATATGTTCGATAAATGAAAAGTTTCTTTCTAAAACTAATCCTAGATAACACACTGTAGTTTTATTTTTTACAGTAACATTGTCAAATCTAATGCTCGGCGGTGATTTGAGGTTACCTTTTAAAAGTAGCTGGAAGGTTTTGTTGGGTGCAAAAGTTAAGCGATTACGTTCACCCCATTGAGATATCAAGTTCAAACATCTATTGGCTAATCTCTCAAGCCCCGCCCTAGTATCAGATTCCACCAGTAATAAGCCGTCATCAGCATACGCGTTCAGAGTACATCCGGATGGTATTGGTATCGCAAGAAAATCGTCGAAGCCGATATTCCACAAGTATGGACCTAGCACCGATCCCTGAGGACATCCCATTGTAAGCGCCTTCGACACAGAATGATGACCAAGTCTTAGTTTAGTTGTACCTTGTGAAAAGTACGAAGAGTTAAGGGAATAAATATTTTTAAAGAACCCCCGTGATTTTAATTTCAGCAACAGCATGGGCCACCATGCGTTGTCGAAGGCGCCAGATATATCTAAGAAAATAGCCAGCACGTATTGAAATTTTGACTCTGCGACAAACTTTCTAACCGATATAACAGCGTCAGTTGTCGATTTACCCAACGTAAATCCAAATTGTCTATCATGAAATTTGACTCCACCTGGCAGAAGCCGGGGCACTACAAGACGTTCTAAAAGCTTTCCTAACGATGGTAATAATGTGATTGGTCGGTAGGATTTAGGATCATCCGGTGGCTTGTCGCCACTTTTTGGTATTATACGAATATTACCGCACCGCCATATACGAGGAAATATTCCTTCAGCAATGCAACGTTTAAAGACAGTGAAAATCGTGTCACCCGAAAGTTTACAAGCTTCTTTTATCATTTTGTTAGATATTTTATCATCGCCCGAAGCCTTGTTTAGCGGCAAGGCTCTAATGATACCGAGAAATTCGTCTGAAGATGGTAAATCAGACATTGGAGACAGTGGTGGTTCGATGGCCCACTGCCTGATCTGTCGGTGATGATCAGTGTCGTTTTCCGGTCGATCGTCAGGTACGAGTGAGTCTAAAAGATATTCTGCTGTTTGTTCTACTCCTGTGGTATATCTGTTATTAATTTTGATGTTCTGTATGTATGCAAGGTCGATTGATCTATTTGCCTTAAATTCGTGATACAAAGGTGACCACGGGCCCTCTCTATCGAGTTTATCAACAAGTTTCTGAATTAAGTTTCCCTTGGATTTTTCCACAGCAGCTCTGTAGTGGGACCTGGCAACTCTAAGAGCAATGAGAGCATTGTTGTACAAATCTCCTGTTACGTTATGTTTTTTAATAGTGTTTAATTTTCTACGAGCTTTCCGGTAGCTTCTACGTAGTTCGGCTAATCTATCATTCCACCAATCACATCTACGAGTGTTAGTGATAGATCCGCGACCAATAGTTACATCAGCGCAGTATGTAAAAGTTTCTGTGTGTGTGTGTGATTTCTGGGAAACAAATATCACATTTCTTCGCGATAAAACATGATTAAGAATGCAGATGTTACTCAACAACAAGTCTGCTGTTTATTTCTATTTCTACCAAGTTAAGTATTGGATTGATATTCTGAAAAAAAATATGGTTTAGTATGTATTATAAAAAAATGAGAAGAAAAAGTGTTGCGGCTGTATTAGTTCTGATAGCTTTATTTAAAGTATTAGTAGCTTAACCTACCAACAGCCTACAATAGTCCACTGCTGGACATAGGCCTCTCCTTACAAAAGAGGTTTCGCCCAATATATTAACCTATTTGCAAAATTTCATGAAATCCTTAGTAAAAAGTGATTCGAAATAAAACAGTAATAAACTACTGAAGCATTATTGCGCGTGGTCCGACACGCATTTGGCCAGAGTTTTTTACAAAACTAGTTTGGTTTGTTTTACGAATCGATGAATCAAAGTGGGAGCTGATTATGTTTAATATACAAGGCTCTGATGTTTAAAAAATATATATTATTGAATACCCGTACTAAATGTAGTTACTTTATTAAAACTCGTAAAACATACATCATGGTTTTAGAAAATAACTTTTATAAAATATATTGTTTTAAAAAACATCCTTTTTATAAAGCTAAACTATATATTTTTCAAAGCTCTGGCTTATTTCTTAATGCTGTTTCTATACGCTTATCATCAACAGCTTTCTGTTCTTTTATTAATTGTATTTGGTGTCAGCGCAATTTGTAAAATTGTGAGCGCACTATGGGTTTAGTAGTCAGCGATTCTTACTGCTAAACCAGAGGTCTTGGGTTCGATTCTCACCCAGGACAAATAAACGTGTGATAAACACGATCAGTTTTATATATATAATAAATCTATAAATATTATCTATAATCTATACATATTTAGAAATATTTTAGAATGTTGTTCAGCAATCTTGTTACTACAGCACAGGCTCTGCCTAGTTTGGTATCAGACTGCCGTGTGTGAAATGTGTGTAGTTATTATTATTATTTTATGTTGAAGTTTATCTAATGTCGGAGTCAGATAGTGTACTACAACTCTTCAATGGCAGCCAGTAAACCTTGAGGTTGGACTCATCTGCTTCGTTTGGACGAATACAACGGATTAGGTTTGGTAATGATGCTCGAATAATTATTAATGCAGTAGATTAACCACAGAACAGTTGAAAGAAACCTTTAACTTACTTCTCTCAACTGTTCTGTGAGATAAACAGTGTAAGTCTTTTTTACGTTCAATTTTACAGCTTGTCAATTATTATTTTTTAATTATAGACACGTAAGAGCATTGCTGCCCTTTTGGAAATTAAAACTAAATATATTTCAATTTAGTATTTTATTATTTGTATTCTCTATCTAATAATAAATAATTTCTTGTGAATTCGTGGATATGAAAAATAACTCGTTATCTTACCACTAAATATAGCTTATAATGTAAGTATCTTGAGTACTTTCTGCGTACAAAAACTTGACAAAGAGCCCCTATACGGCTGGAAAACTCCGAAATAAAAATATTACGTACTCTAATATGTTTATGCCGTATGTATATACTCATATATTTTTAATATCATCAACCGTATTTCTCTTTACGAAGTAATGTAAAATAATAAATTATAAACAACGCTCTCTTATAGTGGTTAGATCATGTGTTAGTTCATCTGCTCAGTTAATATTTATATAAACCACCAATTAGCAAGTGGTTACCAATTTCAATCATACAATTTAATGTTTATGTGGCGTAGCTGATAAAGCGTCCGCTACGAGATTGCGCGTGCAGTATCGAGTTCGGATCCAACAAATACCTCGATAGATTTTTTTCCAAGTCTTCATTTGAAATTGTCGGATATGAATTTCTTTGAGAACATAACTTTACGACGACGACGACGATCAATATCTGGGACAGAAAGCTATAATGAATGCAGTTCTCGGAACACAACAATAGAGGGCGCAACAATCAGTGCACCTAACATATCGGTCGACGAAGATGATGAAATTGACGATCTTAAACGTCAAATTAGTGAACTTCAATCACAATTACAAGCAGCTCACGAAGAGATAAATAATCTATCTATAGAAAATACAGATTTAAAAAATACCCTAGAGGAAATAAATAAAAAACATTCTTTAGTTAAAAAAGCTACAAAAATTCTGTCAACTGAGATCTGTACTCCGATCAAAAAGAGAAACTCAAGACGGTCAACACCTTGCAAGAAATCAAAGCCTCATACGAGTACACAGTGCTATAAAGAGGATAACTCAGCGCTCGAAACCTCGATACCTAGAATACCTCTGGTTAATACGGAAAATCAAGACAAAAACTTGGCTAAACGACAGTCCACCATGAGAATGGCTTACAAAAATGAAACACAAAGCAAGTTATGTATCTTAAGCACTAACACCACTAACCAAATTTTGACAAGAGCTGAAAATACCTTTCCTAACCATCAAATATGTCACTACCTTTCTCCACACTGCGGTATTAAACAACTACTAAGTAATATTCACTGTAAGTTAAATAATTATACAAAGAAAGATCATTGTCTAATATTCATAGGTGAGGATGATTTTAAACAAACTAATAATTATTCGGAGCTAGTAGTGAATATACGCCAAGCTTTGATAAACATAAAACACACTAATATAATACTATGTTTACCTACCTTTAAATATAATTATTATTCTACAATGTATAACTTTAGAATAAAAATGTTTAATAATATTATTTATTACGATATACAAAATTACAATTATGCGACATTATTTGACTCGAATTCTTGCCTATTATATGATCACACAATGTTTCTCAAACACAGTGGTAGAATTAACAATTTCGGTATTATAAATATTTTTGACAATTTGAAACTACTTATCTCTGATAATAACAGTACTAACTCTAACGATTTGTATCTTGACACTGAAGAAGGAAACGAAACCTCACCAACAAATAATTTGTGTCGGTCAACTGGTTCTGTTTGTTTGTCAGTGACAGACGGCTCCAATAAAGACTTTTTTCGTCTATAATAAACTGTGCCTTCTGCATCAAAATGTAAATGGATTGCTCACTAAAACTGACACATTGACGGAATGTCTAGATACTTTTTCAAATAAAGGGCTACATTTACACATCCTATGTTTCACGGAACACAACATGAAGTTAAGCGATATCGATTTTTTAAATATCCCTAATTATACTTTGGCTACATCTTTCACTAGAGAGAAACGGAATGGTGGTTCTTGTATACTTGTTCATAAACATATCAAATATTCAGAGGTAGAATTAGTAAAAGCAGTGAATATTGCTAACGTGTTTGAATGTTGTGCGATAGAATTAACGGACCATAAAACAATGGTACTGTGCGTATATAGAGTTCCAGATCAGACTAAAATTGACATATTTTTCAATAATTTAACATATATTTTACAAAAAATTTGCTACAAAATCAATTACAGGATAATAATCTGCGGTGACTTCAACATTAACTTGTTACAGAAAACCAAACACTCCACTCTATTTAAGCGCCTTTTAAAGGAGTTCAACCTTAAGATTGAAATCGAGATACCTACAAGACCTAGCAGTGGTACTTGCCTAGACAACATTTTTCACAATATACGAGGCTGTAAAAGTGAGATATTGGATTTAGGTTTATCAGATCATACAGCGCAATTGTTGAGCTTCCCTATAAAGCAAACATGTGTTTTGAAATATTATTACAAATGGAAACGTAATTATAGTACAGAAAACATGAATCTGTTTGCTAAACATATTGCAGGTATTGGTTTCGCTGAGGTTTACGAGTCTAATAATCCGAATGATAAATACAATATTTTTTTTGACCTCTTTAAGCTACTATATGAACTTTGTTTTCCTGTAACAAGATGTAAAATTTCCACAGTGAGTAATCAAAAATGGATAACACGCGGCATAAAACGCTGTAGCAGGAAAAGACGAGCTTTGCTTTGGAAATACAGACTAACTCCTAATATTGACACAAAACAGCCTTTGAAACGTTTAGCAAGCGATACCAACGTGTTGTTAAGCTAACAAAAAAGGCTCAGAACAGTTACTATATTGAAACAAGTAGTAACAAATCTAAGGCAACCTGGAAGGTTGTCAACAGTATAAGGAAGGACACTCCAAAAACGAATATTAGTTTGATTCGCGTAAACAATGAGAATATAACAAACCCTAAAACTATAGCACAGCATTTTAACGACTTTTTCGTGAACTTAGTTCAGCCGAATGCCTGTTGTGAGACATATAGTGTGACTAATAATTTGCGCTCTTATAACTCCATGTTCATTCAACCAACAGTACCAAAAGAAATAGTTTGCATAATAAATAATTTAAAGAACACTAACAGCACTGGCTATGATGAAATAAATACTCGTGTAATAAAATCAGTAGGCTCTATCATAGCTCCTGTATTATGTGATATCATAAACAGCTCGATAATAAATGGCATATTTCCAACAAAATTAAAAGTCTCCATTGTTAAGCCAGTGCACAAGAAGGAGGATAAGACCAATATTTGCAATTATAGGCCTGTGGCATTGATACCAGTGTTCTCAAAAATCTTTGAAAGGGTTATTTATAATTCTTTAAATAATTACCTTGAAAAAAATAACATCTTCTGCGGGGAACAGATGGGTTTTAGAAAGGGCAAAACCATTGATTTGGCCATATATCAATTTCTTGAAAAAATACACTATAACTTAGATAAAAGAAAACCGGTAGCTGCAATGTATATGGATATGTCAAGGGCTTTTGATTATGTAGATCACAAAGTATTATTAGCAAAACTCTACAGCTATGGTATAAGAGGTAATGTGCTCGACCTTATACAGTCCTATTTAGCAGATAGAGAACAATTCACTCAAATTAGCCAAGTCAATGTTAAATCTAAAACTGAAAAAATATACTCATCTGGCACTAGTGCAGTTACGTATGGTGTTCCGCAAGGATCTGTTTTGGGACCACTGCTCTTCATATGCTATATTAATGATTTGCCTAGTGCAACAACAAACCAGATGTCCTTATTTGCTGACGATAGCACAGTTATATATAGTAATGACAGTTATACAGAAATCGAAGATGATATTAATAGAAGCCTTAATTCAATAGTTACTTGGTTAAATAAAAATAATCTCAAAATTAATTTTAATAAAACTAAAATCATGAACTTTAGACTTAGAAATACAAATCAATTACAATTTTCAATCAAATATAAGGGAGAATCAATAGATGAAACGAGTACAACAAAGTTTTTAGGGCTATACATCGACAATGACATGACATGGAGAACACAAATTGAGAATGTATGTATGAAACTGTCTCAATTCTCATACGCATTATATATGCTCCAAAAAATTGCGAACAAGACCGCACTAATAACAGCCTACCATGGCTATGTCGCCTCCACTTTGAGATATGGCATTATATTTTGGGGAAACGCGACCCACGTATCAGATGTATTACTGGCACAAAAAAAATGTGTTCGTGCTATTTGTAAATTAAAACCGACAGATACTTGTAAACCACATTTCAAGAATTTAAAAATTTTAACTGTAACCATCGCTTTACATTTATGAGGTCGTTATATTTGTAAGATTGAACTTTAAATTATTTGACTCTGTGGAAAGTCGACGTCGCTTAAATAAGTTGCACTTGTTGCCCACTAAAACTTCCTTCGCCCACAAAAGTATATATGCAATGGCACCGAAATTGTATAATAGATTGCCAAACCAAATTGTATTGAGCACAAATATTAATGAATTTAAATGTAAACTCTTTGAATTTTTTAACAATAAAGCATATTATTCCATAAACGAATATTTAAATGACCAATTTTAATACTATTGACATTAATTGAATATTTTTACTATAAATTTTAATTATCTTTTATTATTTTTACTTAATTTGACCTGAACTGATGATGACTTTAAATTATATACACTTATATGGATTGATGACTTTGTTTATGTAAAATGATGATGCTTTATTTAAACAATACTCTTAGAATATTTAAGGAATGTACCTAATTTCAATGACGTATTATACTATTGCTTTGTTTATATATCATTGCCTAATATTTTGTATGCCTTTCGGCGGGACATAGCTTGTACATAATAAAATTGACATCTTAACCACCTATGTATCACAAAATTGAATAAATAAATGAAATGAAATGAAATGAAAAATGCTCCGTATATGTAAGGAAATATAATTTTATACGTAGCTATATTTCTACCAAACTTTCATCAAAACGTTGCAAAATTCGTTTTTATTTTATCAACGCACACATAGCATATCAAATAACTAAATAGACTTGAGTTGTGAAGCTTTGAGTTTCATAAATAATTATTCAATGTACACTCCATTTGGATTAAAATATATTATACCATTATATAATTTAATATACTGTTATTATAAACTAACTATTTACATACAGGTGTCATCGCTATCATTATAATTTTTCACGCCTTTTATTTATTAATTTTCAGACAGGGCATAGAAGTGAGAAAGTAAAAGAAATAGGCCTAGGGATCCTGGCTAACGAGATAACGTAAGTCTGAGGTTAGTTAATTTGGTCTGAGTCTGCACTAGCTCAATGAAGCCAGGATCATTTACCCCCTCCACTCATCAATTTTCCGCAGACGTCAGTGGGACAGGTTTACCAATAATTACATACACCAGTATATTCTCCATCCTAGGTTAATAGTACTGGCTAAAAAATGTTATAGCTGACTTGTCTCTTTACCAAGTTCTGGATTATCTTTTTCTTTATTTTTAAATTCCTTTCCTTCTAAAAACGCATATATTTCTTCTACACTCTTGTTTTTCGTTTCTGGTACACACGTGGCGGCGTAGAAGCTTGCGAGGAAGCAGATGAACGAAAATATAATAAAAATCCAATGTATTCCTAACAGCTTCAGTAAAGGATCGAAGGCTTTTATTTGGATAAAGTCACTGAGACCGCACACGACAATAACGGTTGAACTCACCATGCCACGGTACTGGAAAAAAAAGAAAGTTTTAAAAGTAGGACTTTCCATTTACGTCCGGCGAGTTGGGGTTGATATTTTTTTTACAAAAAGGTTACATTATCATAAGCACACATGCAAAGTTTTAACATGCGGAGGCGCGTAGTTTGAGATAAAAAAAAATTATTAATTATTTTTGCAATATTATGTTAATCCCTACCACAGATTCTATAGAATTCTAGTAACACTTCAATAGTTATAATGCACACATTTATTTAACAGTTTATATATATTAAATTAGAACATTATTTTTCATTACGAGCTACTAAAACGCGTAGTGTTTGTCGGCTTGCGGAACGAAACGTAAAACTGACGTCCGTCGAGTTGAAGGGGGTTCCCCTTCATCAGAAGAAATAGGGAGACTGATCCATCGAGATTTCTGTATCTATTTTGAGACTGCAACGCCTCCAGAGCTGCGGGAATAGCAGCCTCTACGCCCTAGCGTAACAAATCGCAGGCATCAATCCTCGCCTCCGCAGCTTCGGCTTGCTGGCCGGCTTAATTAAATTAAAGTATTATTTAAAAAAGAATTAGTAAAAAAAGTTTTACCTGAAAATTAAAGAGCTCCGATGTAATGACGTAAGGTACAGGTTGGAATCCAGCAGCATCCGCAAAAATACATAAGCACATGGCAAGAACAGGAAGCCAGCCTGGCATCCAGATGCTCATAGAGGTGATGTAAAACCAGAGTCCAAGGGTCAACATTGAAAGACCAGTTACTAAAGACGTTACCGCTAGGAGCCACTGAAAATCAGAGATGACTAGTTAAAATTATCACATTCAAGATACTGTTCTATTCATAAATTATTTCGTACATACTCGTACTTCATGATTGCGTTAATCTGTTAATAGTAGAAGGTAATCAAGAATTCATTTCATTCAATTTTTTACATTTCTTCTAAAATTTTAGGAATAAGCGTAGTGCACCCGGCCTATTGAAATTAACAGAAAGAAACTTATTAAGTGAACCAGTTTATTTTACCTTTCTTCCTGTCTTTTCTACGATACAACTAGCCACAATCGATCCTAATAACTGGATAACTCCCACTACAATTGTCTGTTTATTAGGGCTGAGGTTTAGGTTGATTGATTTAGACGCCTGTGCGAAGATTGATCCGGCGAATATTAGAACAACCAGGTATCCACATGTCTCCTGTAGCGCCATCACGAACAACGCTATTCGAAAGGCTTTGAACATGGTTTTATCTTGAACTGAAAAGAAAAATAGATAGATACTGATCTTGAGAAATTTACAGGAAAATAGTAGGTACCCCAAAATTAATTCTCTAAAACATTTCGAGAGATATTATTTTCATCGCACACAACTCAGGTTACTAAGTTCTTGAAATTTGTGACAAGGAACATGATAAGACAATATGACATTCAGATTATCTAGACAAATCCTTGTTTGTCGAACTGTACCCATCCTATTGAGAAGATCTATGATGATATAACGACTCCTAATATACAGGTTCCTTACCTACTTTAGGACAGGTCCCTTGTTACTTCCCCCCGGGCTGGGTGTAATTTGTTACGCCTATGATACATTGGTCACAGCCCGGGGAGTGAACTGGCCACCAGGCGTGCTGCTATAGTCTCTCTGGTGGTCGAGCGCATTGAGGCACTGGGCTTACGGGTGGCCCTGGACATGTCCGAAGCCCTCTTATTTCATGAGCCCCGTCGTGGTCCTCCCTCTGGTGCTTCAATCGTCGTCAACTCGGTCTTCGTACTGGTTCTGGCCCAGATGAAGTATCTGGGCCTGATCCTCGACGGGAGGTGGCTCTTCGATGAGCACTGCCGACAGCTTGCTTGAGCGACTTTTGCCTAATCTGGTTGGATGCAGCGTCGCAACGAGACGGCTGTACACGGGGATTGTCCGGTCAATGGCACTGTACGGCGCGCCGGTGTGGGCAGCGGCTCTGACCACCCAAAATAGAGCACGCCTTTGGCGTCCTTAGAGGCTATTAGCGGTTAGAGCCATACGTGGTTACCGCACCGTGTCGACGGAGGCAGCGTGCGCGGTGGCCGGAACTCCCCCGTGGGATTTGGTGGCGGAAGTGCTCACCGAAGTATATCGGCGGACGGCTGATTTCTGGGCGGGTAGTGGCAGTCGACCCCCGCCCGAAGAAGTACGCGAGTTCGAAGCCGCTCGTCGAGCCACGATGGCTCGCTGGTCGTCACGGCTGGAGGCTCCACATGCTAGTATTGCCGCCGTGGAGACGCTCCAGCCGGTCATTGCAGGGCGGCAGCCGGGACCCTTTCCTTCTGGCTGACGTAGGTCCTTTCCGGGCACGGTCCTTTTCGGTCGCTAGGACGTCGCCTAAATAGAGAACTTACCCGAAGGTAGTGCCCGCGCCGTTGCGGGCAGGCGCTAGGAATGGTTCGGATGTCTTAATAACAGCAGTTCCCGGATCCCTCCTATTACAGGCGCAGAGTGGCACACCGTATGGTTTTAGTCGGTCCGATTCCGACATACCACCCCGCCGTAAACCCCGGTGGGGTGACGGCCCGAGGGGGTTTCCACACGTAAAAAAAAAGTCCCTTGTAACTGACTCATATTTCTAATGATATTACAACTTAAGCTCCGTTACATCAATAAACATAAGCTTATTGTCTTAAGCTTCATTTATTAATAGCAATAATGTCATGGTTAACCCGAAATTGTAAAACACTACACTAAAATTTGTATGTTATACAAGATACGTATTTAGAATTCAGGACCGGTAGATGTGTTTTAATGGTGAGCATATTACCATAGTAAATATATGGCTTTTGGTAATGAAAAGTCTATTATTATCGCTAACTACGCGTCTATCGAATAAACGTGATTTACAGTATAATTTGTGGACGACAAGAGCATATTATTACTTTTTTGCTTTGTTTCCTACAAAACACGTCAAGTTGTTGTTGCTAAAATGAAATTAGCTTAATTTCAAACTATATATCATAAATTCGAATTATTTAAAATATCTACCTATTCCTCTAGTATTTAAATTTACATTATTAGAATTGAACATAACTAAAATAATGTACCAAGTCCGGTGGTGTCCATTGTTTTCTCTTTTCGCGTCATTTCTTTCGATTTATTAATTTTTCACTGTTAGTTTTTACTTTAATTTACCTTTCAGTGCGTTCAGTTGGTGACTTTAAGTGCGTTGAATCGGTGTCGCAAATCATCATGCCTGGCAGTACATAATGATATCTACCCTGTAGCGAGATTTGGGTATGAATGGAAGAATAATTAAAGTAGAAATGGCATCACTGCAAAGTACGTGCGGAGTAAGATTGATAGACAATTAGAAATGTTTATTTAAGGCATGCAGATGTAACAAAGTGCATTATGATTTGAAAAAGAGAGTTTACACAAATAATTAATAATTAAATGAACAGAATATACTCTGATCAATTTTGTGATGTTCTGTAGAAAAGCATATTAGAAATAATCGATACTTGTAGGATGGTATTACAGATTTAATGACAGAATAAGAAGATCTTGAGACATGGAGATATGTGCAAGTGGCTACATAACATCGTCTATCAGTTTAACTATTGTCATTGAAGACATCTATGAGACATTAAGTGTACTGTAATACTTGTCGACTTTGACAGTTCCTGATGACCTCGTGGTATTGACGACAAAAACTAGACTAAACTATAAGTAAATGGTGGATTAGTTAAAGATACTTTACGATACAACTACTTCTATGACGAATACGATAATTTACGATCAGATACAGAGAAATTAGTACAATACATTGTTGTTGAACCCCAGAATACTGGAATGGTTTCTGTTTAGATACCTTACCTATGTTGTCTTACCTATTTTAAAAACCACAAAAAATTGGTAAATACGTATGTAAGTAACTATTAAGATTGTTTTTGTGTTGTTCATCTCATTGTGAAAGCAAAAAATAGCAAAAACATCCATAATTGAGATTTAACACAGAGATAACATTTTTCTTATCAGTATTAAATTTTAATAATAAAGAATTAGAGGTTTTTCCTGTGTGTACAAGAACACGTGTAAAAAGTGTAATATCAAAAACAATGTGATGAATTATAAACTATTCACTTCACTTTTTAGTAATAGACGTGCATAATGCTGTATGAAACTAGCCAGAAATTTATATAAAAGGGTGAAAACTTTGATTACATAAATACATTTTTACAGGAACTTTATGTGTTTAACCCTCAATATATACTCACCTAAGCTTTTCAAAGTTGCCTTCTCTATACTCTTTGCGTGTTCTTCTTCTCTTTGCAGCTGCTGTATAGCCTCCTCCAGGTTTTTATCATTTAAAGTAGTGTTCCGAAGCCATGACAATGCAACACGCGCTTGCTGTAGAATAAATTAAAGAGATTTTGAAATGAGAAGTCCGGAAATGACACGAATGTGATCCCATTTAATTTTTTTTCTATAACTTCATAATAAAACATTACGCTTAAACTATGTAATAAATTTCTATTGTAAATTTTACAACTTTGTTAATATCTAAGTATTTGATAGGTATCTTGTAATTAATAAAAAAACAAAGTAAATGCAGGATTCCGTACTATGTTAACTACTGATAAACATAATTAAATGTTTATGATTAAATACATACATATATTTATACATGTATGACATCCAAACACAGAACAAATGATCGTGTTTATCCATCATCTACGAGTTCAGTTTGAAAATGGAACCCAAGATCTAAATCTCAGCAGTCACGTTCACTGACCATTAGTCCAACAGACTCGTCCCTCAAAAAAGATTTACTCGTAACTCAATGTTTAATTTAATTCAGCGACAGCGATGTTAGAGTTGATAAATAATAGTGCGTAAAATCTCTAAAATAAAAAATATTAGTAGCCATCTGGGCCCTGTTTTATGAAGCTGACATTTCGACATATATGTCAAAAAGTGACAAAATTGTCGAATTGTCGCGATTAGGGTGTTTAAAAAAAGTGACAAATATGTCAAAATTCGACAGGTATATTCTTGACATATTTGTCATTTAAAAATCGTTTACTAAAACACGACATATGTCAAAAAACCACAGTCAAATTATTACTGACAATGGTTGGTGACAATTGTCGGATTGTTGTGACAATTATGTCGACTTTTGACATGTTTGCAAATAAATATGTTTTCTGTAGCTAAATGAGGGTAAAATAGAAAACATATTAACAGAGTAAAAGAATGAATCAATCACTAGTGTAGCTTCGATTGTTTGTTTTAAAATTTCGTGTAAAATGGAAATGCACAACAAAATTACCATTTTGGGCCTTATTTTCGAAAATAGGAATATACTCTTTGGGAAGTTTAGTGACGAATTGACCCACGATACAAAAATAAAAAAATGGAAGGAAATAGTCGAACAAATAACAGCATTGGTTATTTTCAACAAAGACTGGTAAAACCTTCGCGACACTAAATGGCAAAATTGGCGCAAAAGGACCATGGTAAGGTTTAGTATATTTTAACTAGTTTATACGTCATCAATTCGTAATTTGTTTAGACCGTTACCCAACTTTAAATAAAGGAGTTATCAATTAGAAATGTATTATATTGTGTAGGTATGTATGAAATATTCTTTGAGTGCCTCAGTAGCGCAGTGATAGCGTATGCGACTACTGTGCTGAGGTCTCGGGTTCGATTTTATAAACACTTTCTTACACCTTCAAAATTCAGAATATGATTTAGCGACAGAGGGTAACGTTCCTGTCAGAATTGTCGGACAATACTACAAATATGTCAATATGTCATGACAATTTTCTGTTTTATAAAGCAGATTTGACAAGTTTTTCACGACAAATTGTCACCTGTCACCTGTCGCTCAAAAAGTTTCATAAAACAGAAAAATGTCAGATTGTCGCGACAATCCGACATATTTGTCAATTTTTCAAAATGACAATTTTGTCGCCTGTAAGTTTGATAAAACAGAAAAATTGTCGAATTGTCACTTTTTGACATATGTCGGAATGTCGGATTGTCAGCTTCATAAAACAGGGCCCTGGTTACCAAAGTACAGGCTCTGCCTAGTTTACAATGAAGCAATGATTTCGATGCTTTTTATCTATTACTCGTAGTTTTAAATAGGGCGCCCAAAGAGAGGATAAGCACTTGTCTCTCTTGGGTTGCGTGTGCCTTTTTTTTTTTTTGTTTTTTTTTTTTTCCGTGCGGAAATCCCCTCGGATACCACCTGTCGGTGGCATGTCGGACACGAACCGACTAAAACCGCACGCCTTCGCCGGGTACTAATAGCCGGGGAACCAGGTATACCCTAGAAAGGAAGGCCCTGGTGCCCCGACATACCTCGGGTGATCTACAGACGAGTAGACGACCCCCGCCCCGTGTGGGAACCCCATGTTCCCTGTGCTCCCTGGAAGCGAGCGCGCTTCGCAACGCGCTCGCCGCCACCCCGGCCTGCTTCTGCTAGGGTGACAGATGGCCTCACCTGTCACCCTGCCAGGCCTGCGCTTATGGAGGACGAAGGTCGTTCTGCGACCTCCGGCGCCTGAGTCGCCTGCGCTGCCTGGCCCGTGCCCGGGCCTGGCGGGCCGGGAGAGTTCTAAACCTCTCCCGGTCCCGCTCCGCCGTCTCCTTCGCGAGCATAACTTGCTCGCAGAAGGAGACGGCAGAGTTCCACGCACTCTCGCTCCGCACGATAGCCGCAATCAGGCTATCGAGCGAGAGAACTCCCACTCCGATGGCCGCCACGAGGTCTCGCCTCTGCTCAACCCACGCCGGGCACTCTGCCAGCGTGTGGAGAGCCGTGTCCACGGTCTGGCCATCGCAGTGGTGGCACTCAGGCGTTGGCTCCTTGCGGATCAGACACAGGTGATCTCCGAAACATCCCTTCCCAGTGATCACCTGCGTCAATCGGTATGAGAGGGTCCCGTGACGCCTCTCGAGCCAATCCTCCATAACGGGTCTTACCGCCGCAATGACGGCGTGCCCGGCGCTCGGTTGCCCGAGTCGTTCCCTCCACTCCCCTATGATGACCTGGCGGAGTTGGGATTTCCGGTCATCGATTTCTCGAATCTCGGGGCATCGACCCAACTCCTGCGCCTCCTTGCGCCACTGATACAGTGCTGCAAGGGCTCTCGCCTCCAGGTCCCACGGTGGAGTTCCGGCCAGGAGACTCGCCGCCTCAAAGGAGATCGTGCGGTACCCCCTTATGATCCTGATGGCCAGCATTCGCTGCGGTCGCCGCAGTATCGCGACGTTGCTGGCCTTCAGGGCCCCCGCCCATACTGGGCACCCGTAAAGGGCCATGGACCGCACAACCCCCGAGTAGAGTCTCCGGCAGGAGTCATCGGGTCCCTTCATGTTGGGCAGCAGCCGCGCCAACGCACGCGCTGCCCCAACCAACTTGGGGACCAGACCTCGGAAATGATATCCGAAGTCCCATCGGCCATCGAGTACGAGCCCCAGATACCTGATCGAGGGCTCGATGCCGATGCGAGTGCCTCCTACCGTGAGGCTAGATCCCTCAGGCGGCTTCCTCCGAAGCCCGTGGAAGAACAGGGCCTCGGACTTGTGCAGAGCCACCTCGAGACCCAGCCGCCGGATACGCTCAACGACTTGGGCAACCCCGGCCGTGGCCCTCAGGGTTGCCTCGTGGTGCGTCTTGCCGCGCGCCGTCACGAGTGTGTCGTCCGCGTAGCACACGACGGCGACACCATCCAAGAAGGCATCACGAAGCACCCAGTCGTAGCCGATGTTCCACAAGAGTGGCCCTAACACCGACCCCTGCGGAACACCGCACGACATTTCACGCCTACCGAGACCGGTCCTACTGGGGTAGACGACGGCTCTCTCCGACAAATATGCCCCGACTATGCGGCGGAGGTAGAGAGGCACTTCGTGATACACGAGCGCCTCCCTGATGCAGCTCCAGGGCATAGTGTTGAACGCGTTGGCGATGTCCAAGGACACCGCCAACACCACTTCGCCCCGGGAGACTGCTTCCTCCGCCAGAGCCTTCACGCGCATGATCGCATCCACGGTGGAGCGCCCCTGACGGAAACCGTACTGGTTGTCCGCCAGATCCGGCCCAACCATCACGAGATGCTTGACGAGGCGCCTTGCAATCACTCTTTCAAAGAGCTTGCACACCTCGTCAAGCAACACTATGGGCCGGTAGGCGGACGGTGAGTCCGCCGGGGTTGCGTGTGCCTGGGCGGCAGTAGTCACCATCAGATGAAATTAATCATTAGTTCTATTATTATTATCTTTATTTCATTAATATAAACACATTATTTTTTTTAAATACATTTATGATTCATACGAGAAAATAAAGTTAAAATATAAAAAATAGTATCCAATCGTATCGGATACAGAGACCAAGATACCGGTTATTAAGACTCCAGAGACAGAAACCTCCTCACAATACGTGCCGTTTTGAGAAATACTGCTTTCTGCATCAGGGCCTTAATTCAGCTGCCAACCGCTAGCCTATGAAGATGTTGGTTGAGGCTCTTAGCAATTAATCCATGGGATGATTTAACTATCGGTACAAAGATCGCAGAATCCACATCTCACATTTCAAAAATCTCGTGGGCCAAATCCAAATACTATTATCATGATAATAACCCCGCTACTCTAGTGAGGTCAGTGGATTTTTAAGACTTCTAACTCCTTTATCGGTGCATCCATCCGCTGCCAGCCATTTTAATCAAGTCGTCGATTCTACAGGGCGGCACTGCTCCCTAGACTACGTTTGCCCAATCGCAGTCTCCACTCTAACACATGTTAGCTCCGGCGACCATCGGTCCGTCTGAAGATACGGCCGGCCTACTTTACTTCAGCGTACTGATTCTCTGTGTGCAGTCGGTTACTCCAGTTCTCTGTCGAATGGTTTCATTTTGAATTTTGTCGACAAGAGGAACACCGCACGCTCCATCGCCCACTGAGCGACTTTGAAATGGACCAGTCCAACGGTGAGTATCCACGTCTCGGCTCCTTATGTCATTATGGGTAGGACGCACTGGTTAAACACCGTAGTTTTTAGCGATTATGCGAAGATATAACAAAGCTTCCCATATGCCGCCCAGCCCAGACGAATTCTTCTATCGGCCACTCGATCAAAGTTGTGGCGGCCGAGTTGGATAGTTTGGCCAAGATAGACGTATTCTTGCACAACCTCGATAGTACGGCTATTCACGGCTACGGAACTCGGGGATATATGTCTATTATACATGATCTTGGTCTTACCAAATCATCGCCAGTCCCACCACCAGGATGTTAAGCATTTCTTCCAGAGCATACAGAGATTCCGCTAGGATCACTATGTCGTCTACGAATCGTAAGTGTGAGATTTATTGGCCATTGATATTGATTCCCCGTTAGTTCCAATCGATCGTCTTGAAGACGTCTTCCACTGCATTGGTAAACAGTAATTGATTTGGTCTTGTGCTTTGTTCTTGTACTTGGACGGTTAAATTTGCGGGTTCGTACAGACATCTCAGCACTTGGGTATATCTGCAGTCGACCAGGCATCTCTACATTGATTCTAGGATAGCCCGGGTCTCGATGGTATTAAAGGTCTTCTCGTAGTCCACATACGCTAGGCAGAGACGCTAAAAAAAAAAAAAAAAAAAAAAAAAAAAATACGCTAGGCAGAGAGGCTGATTGTATTCGTCTGTCTTCTGAATTATTTGTCTTAATGTGTGTATGTGGTCCACGGTGTTGAAGCCTCTTCGAAACCCAGCCTGCTCCTGAAAGTTATCAAATTTCTGGGCAAGACGATTAGTAATGACCCTCGAGAACAACATATACACATGGCTCCGGAGTGATAGGGCGGCGGTAGTTTTTCAGTAATATTTTGTCTCCTTTTTTCAAAAACAGTTCTACAACGCTCCTGCTCCAAGCCTCCGGTGTAGTGCCAGTACGTATGATGGAATTAAATAGCTTTGCGAGATCTGCTAACATCGGAGTTCCCCCGACTTTTTTTATTTATTTATTTATTAAAGGTTCACCAACAACTGTTTACATTAATTCCTTAAACTAATACATGCCATTTAGTAATAACAATGCAACAGCCACTTATAGGTAAACACCGCTTATGCTTTAAAGATAGATAAAAAGGTTGACTGTTTCAAAACAATTAATGAAAAAATCTCACAAAGGGAAAGTATTAATACAAAATTTTAGTTTTTTAATTTACATATTACATTTATTGCGTCATAGCAAATCACTAAGGACGGACTTTTTCTTACAAATTGTATCGAAATATAAGTCAATGACATCGCTGTAGTGATTCACTACCTTACACATTCTTGCAAAGGGAGAATTGGAACCAAGAACTGTTCTTCTCAGCGGGGAACAAAGTGGCGCGACTGGGCTGCGCGGGAGTCTGGATGGAACGCGAAACTTAAAAAGGGCTACCAACTGAGGACAGTCAATTTTCTGGTCTAGAATTTTGTACGCGAACATTGCATCGTTTAGGCTTATACGTCTTGCTAGGGATTTTATTCCAAAGTGCCTCATTCTGCCTTCGTAAGAGCGTATTTTTTTGGTGATGCCATTGGAGAATGCAAGGTGACAGAGAAATCTCTTTTGTACACGTTCAAGTCGCAATGAGTGTACAGCATAATGCGGCCTCCAGACTGTGCTACCGTATTCCAATGTGCTTCGAACTAAACTATTATATAGCTTAATTTTTGTTTTGTTATTGCGAAAAGCTTTACAATTTCTTAAAACAAATCCTAACATTTAGGAGGACTTTTAGGAGCTCTGTTGTGATTCGGTCTTCCCCCGTCGCTTTGTTCTTACTGAGTTGTCCTAGCGCCATTCTATCTCTCTCAAATCGAAGTCAGGAAGCTCGTCTGTGAGGTGGCGTGTCATTCTAGCACACGGGTCATCCGCGATGTGGGTTTCGGGTGGGTGGGTTCATAAGGTGTATAGAACTTTTCGACTTCAATGAGAAATACTGTTTTAGAGGTGACAGTGGTGCCTTGTGCTGTTCTGAGTTTGGACAGATGACATCAGAACGCCTTAGGCTTAGCAAAGACTTTTGAGCCCTTGTTGCGAGCAATCATCTCCTCTATCGCTTGAGTATTCGATTGTTGAATATCCCGTGTTATTGGGCTCTTTACCTGCCTACTCTTTAACTACTCTATTACACTTATAATTATTGTGTTTCCAAGTTTGGTTAACTTTAGTTGAGACCCGCAGTATGCCATCCCGGTGATTTCGTCGTTTAAAAGTAGCGTTGATCACTATTCTTAAACCTAGCGAACCAATGTCGTACCAGTAAGAATATACAAAAATAAATGATAATTAATAACGAATTATATCTGATAAGAAGTTCTTACCTCAATCTTACCCTGTTTCACCAAAAATACTGGTGTTTCAGGCATAAAGATGAACCCCGCTAGAAAGATAGCAGGTATTGCTGTACAGATCCACAGCAGTACCTTGAAAGAGAGCAGGTCTCCGGCGACGTAGACAGCCAAATATCCCATATTCTGAGACAAGATGAAAAGAGAGCACAGAGCACCGCGTATATTGTCGGACGCAACCTTAAAACCAAAAAATCGATATGAAAACCATGACCTTAAAACTAATGTTGTTGTTTTTTAACAAAACTAGCTAAAGGGTATAGGAATGGACTTATATACCTATACATGTGAGTTTCTTTATTCCATTATAACTTCTAAATACCTAAACAAATTTTACTTTACAACATTCAAACAAAGGTCACAAAGAGCACCGAGATCCGAAACAACTACCTATTTGTGTCCTGTATTTTATCGAACCGAAAACTGTAGGTAGTTCAAGAAGCGAGGCGATCACTTTCAATACTGTGTCACCCATGCCATCAAAGTAATTCTGTATTGAAAATCACATTTTTTTTAAATTTCAAGTAATTGGCTTTATTTCACTATGTGACACTAAACTGGCCACACCTCTTTGTAAAACTCTGGATGTTTAGATCTCGTATCTCGATGCTAATATTTACAAAATATATTACTTCTCATTATCGAGTACTACAGACCTTCGCAGGAGCTATTTTGTTATTTGCTTAACCTCTAAGTAACTTTATCAGTTATCTTTCTCAATGGTAAACCTGCTTAGGCAAAAGTTAAAAAAAATGTTTTAGTTTAACTTTTTACAATACGAGTAGCTTGCATGATTAATTTTACTAACATATTATAGCCTAATACGAGGATACAAGAGAAAATACTAAACTTAAGGTCTGTACCTAATCCTCTAGACTAACACACAAACATGCACGTTAGACGAGAGAGTTCAGAGAAGGCAGAGCTCAGGAAAGAAGTAGTAGTATGGGAAAGAATTACAAGGTAAGCATAAGAGATGCGGCTTGCGGGTGAAGAGGGCGCTCGAGGGGAGATACTCTCACCCTACACTTTGCACCTCAAATGCATTCAAATCGCGCGCCTCTTGTTGGCGGATAGGTTTTAATAGTCGTCGTGTATTTACCCATGATAAGTACAATTAAAAATTTAAATTCAATAATATAATTAATACAATATTTACACGTACCTCCTTCAAATACATTGGTAGTACTACATAGCATCCGGCGCCTGCCATTCCCGCAACCAATCGAGACGTGATCAGTGCCCATGGACGAAGAGAGAACAGCATGATGGACCAACCAACCTGAAGCATACTTTTATGTTAGTTATTTAGTCATCTACAAAGGGGGTATTACAGATTCTTAGCAAAATGTGTTAATAGACGTTTTCAGTATGATCTGGAATGTTTTACAAGTGACTATATGGAGTTGTTGCATCAGCATTGTTGATTTCTACTCTTGCGAAATGCCCAGCTATGAAGCCCAGCTATAAAGTGTAAAATGATACTAATATTTAGTAATCTTAAAACAAACGCAGTTATTACTTCTAATTGTAATTTCTGTTATCAAATATTAATGCTCTTAACTATTCTCACCTGTAGTATAAATCCTGTCAGCATCGTAACAAATTTCCTCCCCCATCTATCCGCTATTGTCCCTGTGAAGATGCTACATAAAATCAGAGGCAGGAAGCCACCAGCTCCCATCCACGAGATGATTTCATCAGATATCGGTTCCGGAGCCGGTCCGTCGGGAGACTGCAGAATTGGAGTCATAGGAGATAGCCATCCCATCAGCATACCGAAATTTATGACTGGCATCGTAACTGACCCAAAAGAAACACACATTTCTATATTAAACATTATACTCGTACCTACGTACAATGATATGCGAGTATGTACTAAACTTTTTTTCCGTACTCAGAGTATCCGGATGCCGGAGTCTCGGATACAGCTTATACCACTATGTTCCAATTATGACAGAGATCATCCATCCATCCATTCATCTTCCTAATAATCTTTTACTCCTGTGTCCAATACACACTTCTTCTATTGTTCATTCTTCTTTTGCTCTTTCTTTTGCATCTATTCTACTATGGAATGAGTTCCCACTTGTGATCAGTATGTCAGCAAGGCGTGACACGTTTAAACTTAAGTCCGAGAATTCTACTAGAAACAGCTACCAGCAGTATATATTTTATCCCGTATTTATATTATGAAAATATTTATTTGTGTATTCGTCCATGTATTTTAAATAGCATTATTAATTATAATGTTATATTTTCATAGCTTCTCTTCTTTTTTTTTTCAAATACATACATGTGCACATGCCAAGACCCTCACTGAACCATCTTAAGGTTAACTGGTAGATAATGCCATGTGGCATTAGGTCTGCCTCTTGTAAGTTGTAATGCAGATATGTGTAAATAAATAAATGATTGCAGTCACTTTCAGCATCATTCGAATATTCATTAAGGCGATGCGTCGCGTGACAACCAAACTCAAGGTCTGAAGTAAAACATACACTCAAAGCAAAAAAAGGTCTTGTGTATAGAGATACGGTTCATAATAGAAATCCGCGGTAAATGAGTAATATCAATATGTCATGGTTGAGGGCCTAGTTAGATTACAATTTAAGGATAACTAGCGTTTAACTGCATCTTCTACCTACCTGATTTTAACCTAAGTCATCAATTATGTACAATAACAAATTTCCTTAAGCTGAAGCGTGATCATCTATCTATTTATGCGTCTATCTATCCTCATAAACTTCCGTTTTAGTGTGTGTGTGGATTACAGTGTATTTAAATATGTATGTATGTGTATTAATATATCTGTCTATACATATCTAAATGTGATGTTAACATTTCAGGTTTTAGTACAGTGTTGATAAGGCATGTGTTTTTCAGGCATTGAATATGCTTTGTCGTAGTTCAGTTTCAATTTCGTATTCATGGCAAATGGGCGTAAGAACTTATGATTATAACAGATCTTTATTTCTCTATTAATTTGGGATCACTTATTCAAAGTACTAGTACGAGACATGCCTATACGATATTATCCATCGTGCTCTTGTTACCGGCGTTCTAGCTGTACGTGAACCCAATGGTCCAATGGAAGAGTCCGGACGGTATGTCGTTGCTACAGTGGAAGATGGGTAAACCTTTGATGTGGGACGCAACTTGCGTAGACACCCTTGCGCCATCACATCTTCCAAGCACAACTGGTGATGCCGGCGCTGTTGTTGCATCCGCAGAAACCATCAAACGGCGTAAATACCAAAATTTAGTAGGAAATTACATTTTTTAACCGTTTAGGGTAGAGACGCTAGGGTTCGAATGCTCGTGTTTTGTATGAACAACTAGCTAAACAACTGATCGACACTTCTCGTGATCAGAAGGCCGGGCCTTTTTCTAGCACAGAGAATTAGCATTGCCATTCAACGTGGCCATGCTGCCAGTCTTCTGGGAACCTATCCCACGCTAGCCAGACATAGACGCCTACAGGTATAGGGTTTGTGTCAAGTTTTCCTTCTTTTTGCAGTGCTGGTGTACTGCCTTGTTTTGCGCTCTTAGTCGGCTATTACGACACCCACGGGATGAATTGGGGTAGTGACATTCCGTATTCTTAATCCATCACTACAACAATATTAGTACATAGTCGCACATGAAAAAAAAAAAAATTTACGTGCATACCTTCTCATTGATTACACTATTTAATTCTTTCGTTCTAAATTCGAAGCCTATTTGCATTTAATTTCCATATATTTTTTCATCCATAGGAGTGATATGTTTTTCTTTCGAGAAAGAACGTAAAGTAATACCTTCCCAAATGAAAAAATAATTTTTCAACTCGGTTCATAAATTAACGAATTCCGAGGTAAGAAACAAAAAATACAACTGAATTGACTTCCTACATTTTTTATGTTGTTTAAAATAACACGACCGAATTGTGAACCTTCTTTATTAAAGTCGATTAAAAATGAGTCAAACATTCATCATCTATTACTTAGCGGTGTTATGAAGCATAAAAAAGACTCGTTACAACAAATTACTAGTCCACTGCTGGACATAGGCCCCTCCTCAGAAAGGAGGTTTTGGCCTAGTACACCACGCTGGCCAGACGGATTGGTATAGGTTTGTGTCAAGTTTTCCTTCTCTCTGCAATGCTGTTGTCCTACGTAGTTACCATTACAAGAAATTACTGTAACTTTCTGATCTGATGAAATTCTACCAGTACTATTTACAATCTGAATAGAACTATTGTATTCTACTGTAGACTGTTCTTTTAAATATATTCATGGTCATCTTTACATTGTATAAAATTAAGTCCGCTAATTGAGAGCGAAAGATATTTTTCTTGTACACTTAGATGTTTCAAACTACGCAATGGAATTTGAGGTGCAAGTGCAAGTGATTCAAGAGGTGGTTTTATATATATATCATACATGAATATTTTAGTAGAGAAAATTGGAGAATTTTAAACATTTGTAATGTGAAGTCGTAAAAAAACATGTTCTTGTGCGCTAAGGAATTGTATATTTTAATTGGTAATATACGAAGCTATTATGAGCAATACAGTAGTATTTATTTTCCAAATAAATACGTTAGATACGTTGTGTATGTAATGAACATCAAAATTTGCTTTTGCAGCATATCATTAAAGTGAAGTGAAGTCTTAGTAGAAATCAGAGATTTAAAATGAGGGGGCAAAGCGACCTCAGAACTTCAGGCTCGGTACCAGCGCACTTTTATTTTTATTTAAAATCCATAGATACCGAGCCTGAAGTATTTTTTAAATGTCTGTGGGAAATTATAGTTGCAATCTTTTCTATTGTCATTTCTATATCTGTGCTACGTAATAAAAATGACATATCATGTAAACATTTTGAACAGAACTTATATTTAATAAAAATTATGTGTTAAATTTTTAATTATTGGGTATTGTTTTAAATGTTATGTAAACTATTGAATATCAATGTACAGTCTACTAAACCATTTGTTATGTTTGGTTATCATTTTATTTCTGTGTATTGTTAAAATAAAAACATATTTTATACATCTCACATCGTTTTAACAGATAAAGTTTAAGATCCCATGTTATCATCACATAAAGGTCATTAAATTGTACAAATAAAGTGTATGTATAACTAAGCATATGCAAAACATTAGTTAAATATTAGCTGCTTTAATGTTTGGCAAATTTCATTCTTGTATCACGAAATACGATGGTGACAAGGATAATCACTTTAATTACAACTGCGTGTCAAGCGGTTGTAATAGATAAAATGTGCCTATAGATAATTATAAGTTCCATTTTAAATTTCAGGGGTTTCAGAAATACGTTTTAAGAAAAATGTTGCTATGGAATCCGCTACACTCATAACAGAACTAAATTGCTGCGAATCCTGACAAACTTTAGCCGCCTCTTAAACACGCTGGCGATACAGGTTGGTACGGGGTTCGTTTCAGGTTTTCCTTGTTTGCAGTGCTACGGTCCTGAGTGGTTTGCTCCCTTACGACACCCACGAGATGAATATGGGTGGTCGTCACCACACGGAAAAATTATTTTAGATTTAGATATAAGAAAGGATTCTGCCACCCCGCTCCAGAGTCCGTCTTTAGACGCTCTCTTTTTTAAGAAGAAAACAATCCCGTTACCACGAAGCGGAATCGTAAGTACACTCTTTTTTCTTCTTATCTAATAAATCACACAAGTAATCCCAGGTATTTAGAAAAGTGGAAGCTATAGAAATTTAAAAATATAGCAGAAGATGTATGGACAAGAACGAATAGCTAGAGAAAAATAGAAGAGGTTTCTGGCAGAATTAGTTGTCCACATTTTTTTTTTAACTTTTCGTTCATAAAAAGGGATATATTTTATTTCAATGAATTAAATTAACTATTTACTACTAACTTGAAAATATTAATATACACATCAAGGACTATTCATTCTATGCATTATCGCCTACCAATAGCGCTCTCAGAAGGTTGCCGGCATATATAGTAATACACTCGTATGTCTCAAGACTCTAGACGTTTCCTAGAGATGACTACGGAGAAACATCAGTTCCACATAAAATACGAAACAATGTATTTTCATTGTGTTGTTTGTGTGTTTACATCATTAAAATGTTACAATCTGTGATATTATTACATGTTAAGAAGGGTTTCTAGCCAAACATCCTACATATAAATTAAAGAATCGAAGTCTCAAGTCAAGTGCCTACTCCAAAAGTGACGTAGATTGTTGTTGAGTCCTTTAGAGGCAATAATCGTAAACGTTAAACTTACAAAACTCCTCGTTCTAGCAAGATTTCTATAGTTCTACTATTGTCTTAGCAATTGGGTGGACTAGCCTGAAGATGGAAGGGTGCGATAAACATTTTAAACACATCTATCTACATCTTTCTAAAACATGAAATTATTATATTAATTATATACTAACCCATGACAGCCATAAGGAATTGATTAAAGTAACCTTGATCCCTCATCCGCGAGACCCATCGTAACGGAAGTGCGTCAAACATCTTGCGCACGCGCCACTGATCTTTTTAATGCCTGAAAAGAAAACTATAATGAAACGTAAGAACCATAAAAATTATGATTTAATCATTGTGACTTCAATATTCTTCGGAGAGAATACGGAGAGTCACACCCATATTGATCCCGTGAGTATTGTAAGGGCTGACTAAGAGAGCAAACTAGGCAGGACAATAGCACTGCAAAGAGAAGTAAAACTTAAAACAAACCCTATACCAACCCGTCTGGCCAGCGTAGTATAGTAGGCCAAAACCTGCTTTCTAAAAAGAGGCCTGGGTCCGGCCAGTGGACTTCTAAAGGCTGTCGTTGATGATGATGCTGATAGCCTACAAATTTGTAAATAAAGTCATGCTAATGTGCGAAATTTTCAAATTCAGGAGACCTATCAAATACACGGAGTAAGTAATGTATATATTTCATAATCCTGTGGTTGCATTTTAAAGATTGTCCCAGCACGAGAATGCCGCCAATTGTATTAGATATATACTACTTCCTTATATTACTCTTTATAATATTGCCTTTTATGTAAAAAAAGAGGTACTCTTTTAAGATAGGAGTTAACCGTGGGCGAACCATGCTTCGGTATAAATGGGCCAGCTCCACCGGAGCGAAACCACGGCGTTACAGAAAACCGGTGTTGAACAATATTATTGTTGCTTTTCAACAAGTGAGCGAGCTCAAGCCCTCTCCCTAATTCTGGTGGGGTGTTATTGGTGTCCGTTTTATGAATGTTTGTAAAGTCCCCCGCGACATTGGATATATTCCTAGTGCGGAAGATTTGTTTAAAACAAACTATATCCGTGTATTACTTGACTAATTTAAGCAAAAAGTGGGTATTTTGGCTTGTATTATAGCCTAGCTTACTTTTTGTAGTATATTATTTTATATTTCATCAATAGTTTAGCTAACACACACATAAAAAACCGGTCAGGTACGAGTCGAACTCGTGCGCCGAGGGTTCCGTACCTACCTAGATTTTACGTAGACTTTCACAAAAAATTTTAAGTACCAAAATTTAGCTTAATTTTCAACTTTTTTTATTTTTTGGAACTATTCCTTTATTTGTGGTATAAGACGTTTCTTTTTGCCAAATTTCGTGTTTCTAGATCAACGGGAAATACCATATAAGTTTTCGACCCAAAACCAATAGGGTACTTCCGGTTGATCTAGAATTGTCAAACTTGGTTAAAAGGAAGGTCTTACAGCACAAGTAAAGAGGAAATTCTGAAAAATAAAAAAGTTGAAAATTAAGGCAAATTTTGGTACTTACAAGTTTTCGCGAAAATCTAAATTTACCCATATGTTTTTATCGTGTTGACTCAGGACCTTGATTTTTATACACCTAATAGAGACCATAGTCCTCAGTACTTGGTATAAATTTCAACTTGCTAGGTCTACCCGTTCCTGAGAAAATCGGTGGTGACACACGGACAGACGGACAAGAAAGTGATCTTATAAGGGTTCCTTTTTTACCTTTCGAGGTACGGAACCCTAAAAAAGGAAATCTTTGACAACTTGGCTTTTATTATAATACTGGCTGACCCGCGCAACTTTGTCTCCGTCTCTCAAAAGGAATAAATTTGCCATATTTTTGAACCATTATTCATTGATTCTCGGCTCCTATTGGTAGCCTTCCTCGATAAATGAGCTATCCAACACTAATTTCTTTTTTTTTCAATTCGAACCAGTAGTACCTGAGATTAGCGCATTCAACCAAAGAAACAAACAGATAAATCCTTCAGCTTTATGATATTAAATACATATTTCGTTTCTTTTATGTATTTAAATTTTGTTTAAATGGTGTACCTACAAATAACATAAGGATTTTTTTCAATAGGACATTTTAAATCAATATTACACTTCTGTTATTAAGCTGTGAATCCTTGGCTGATATGTACGTGGGTCACACTGCAACTTTTTATAATAGTCCAAATCAGGAACAACTATGACTATATTTTTGCTACAAATTGATACACTACATAAAAATAAGGAGAATACTCACTCTGCTGTGAATGTAGACAAAATAAATAAAAATAAAATGACATTTGTAGCTATTTTTAAAGTAAGTAGTGATCGTAACGGTGTTTGTTTAATTAGATAAGTAAAACATTAGATTGTATTTTTTATGGTATAGGATAGCAAACAACGAGACTGATCGCCTGATGGTAAGTCACTACAGCCGACCATGGACACCTGCAAAATATACCCATATTCATCTGACATAGTCACCTTTCTTTCATAAGCAAAAAGTCAGCTGCCGAATACATATTTATATAAATATAATATATTTTGATGAGGGTATAGAATAGGTAGGTTTTCGGCATATAAATGAATACATCGAGTTATTGTTATGTTAGTTAATTTAACGATAAATCCACGTAATTATATTCTATAACTATTAAACGAATGGCTCATTTAAAAACTACCGTCTACCAATACTTATATACATGAATTACCTTTAAATACGATGAATTCCTTTGAAAGTAATGAAAAACCAAAAATATTTACATTTGTGAACATAATGTATATTTTTGTTTTCCATTACTTTAATCAGGGGACTCGGAAATCACTTTACCGATTAAAAACGAATGATCTTAGAAATTTCTTTGAATTATAGCTACGACCTAAAACTAAATTTTTTATCTAAGCCGCAAAAGGTCATAGATACACAGAATTTTATATATATTTTAATATATTGTATTGTCGTATGGGGTCGACAGTAATACTTACTTATTTCACTAAATGTTCACTTCAGTTACACAAATATCTGTTCATTGCCACCCTAAATATTTTTTTGAAATCACCTTTAAAGTGCATGAATTATATTAAATGCACTTTAAACCATTTCGAAACATTTAATAAACAGAAGAATTTTTACAACATTCTGCATGAATTTCAAATTTTATTTATTTTTTTAACTTAGAACAATTTTATTTTTTTCAATTTTTTTCAATGTAGCAGTATGCGTGTGTCCGCGGCTAATACTCTTCACTGTGTATATGAAGATCATAGCCTACACTTCTTACAATGAAGCGTAAACATAAGTAAACAGATTACAGGAGTTGTACTGTATCCTCTTATTTCTATTTATAATAAAATCTCATAGAGCTACGATTCTTTCAGTAGGATAATGTCAAGTTATGAGAATAGAAGTAAGTAAAATTATTTAAAAAATGTAGCTTCGAAACACGAAAAAGAGTATAATGAACTATCAAACGAAACTAATTATTGTATGACGGATAGCAATTAGAAAAGAATGGGAGCCTTCTTATCAGTGCTGCATCTAAAGGCGATATTGAGAAAATGAGACAGTCCTAGAAGTAAGCTTCATCATGCGTTAAAGTTGAAGAACCTGCCAAAGCCAATCCAAGAATCACTGTCACAGGTGTACCCATAGCCAGGGCCGGATTACCCATTAGGCAGAGTAGGCGACTGCTTAAAGGCCTCGCATCGTTCAGGTTCAAGGCTTTAGGCAGTAGACTTAGTACAGTAGTACGAGTAGAGTAACAAACATACACACTTTCATATTTATAATATAAATTAAGACTACATACATACTACTTAGGACTGCACGGATGGCGTAGTGGTTTAAGCGGTCGCCACGCCGCTTCCTACTACGCCGAGTGTTGTGGGTTCAAACCCCACATGGGATGACACTTTGTGTGACCCACAAATTGTTGTTCTGAGTCTGGGTGTTCTTTATGTCCGTTTCATGTATAAATTTTTGTTGCATTTTCATTAAACGTATGTCGGTAATTGTTTGCCAATCAAAATCGGACAGACATAACCTTATATAATTAAAATTCCTCAGTGTGTCAGTGAACTTACTTAAACCGATGGACCCAACTCATTCCTGACAGTTCTGTTTTATGATTCCGTACTATCTGCTCAGTAACTGTAAAAAATAAAAATAAAAGAAAATTATTGCCACATGAAAAAAATACGTACAAATCTTAAAGATAAATATAATCCCTGTAATAAAAGAATTGGCGCATAAATGGCGCGATGTCGCATAAAACACACAATATGACGAACCGAATTAAGGTATTTAATTTTTGATATATCGCACAGACGAATCAATCTACATCTAGAAACAAATCTACTATTTTTTTAATTATTATGTAGGAAATGGTAGCTATATATAATAAAATAATAGGGTCTTTATGCTTCGCCTAAAAACAGCTTATTGGCAACAGCAATTGGAAAAAATCTAATGATAAATCACCGTTTATTTACAGTTCACTGCGATTTTGTTCCATTTTTGGTGGTTACAATGAAATTATTCGAATTGAGGCCTTACATAATTCGTTTTAACTACTCCAACGGATCGGGCTCGGTGACGACGATGGCATGATGATGAAGCCAGGAGATGAATAGTGAACTTCTTACCTAACTTTTAAATTTTACTGAAAACTATAATTGTTTATTTTTGAAGTCCGTTCCGTTCTACATTTAACCGAATGTGTGAGATTATCCTCCTTCATCTACGGAAGGAAGGGCGCAGGGGGAGGCAACGCCCTTGTGTTATTTGAATTCATCCTTTTCATTAAAGTAAATGAAGGTCATCAGATGTAACCTTCTCATAGTTGGCACACTGATAAAGCATTCGTATGAGACGACATTCTCAAAGGTCGATGGATCAAATCCTGCTCAATGCAATTATTTGCTTGCACTAAGTGTCTTTTTGTATTCGTTTGGATATTAAACATAATATAAATAGGTATTTAATGACGACCAAAAAATATTTTACAATTATGCATTTTTTTTGCGGTGGGCGTTTTCTAGAACCAGTGTAAACATTGGCTTGGGTCTAGATTTTAGCTGATCCGCGCTACTTCATCTGCTTCTCTCAAAATGAAAAGACACCCTTCACATCACATCAAAAGCCTTTACTAGTCCACTTTACTGTGCCATTGTCCAACACCCACGGGGTGAAATAGGGGTGTGACACTCCGTATTTTTATCCGTCACCACACGGATTTTTGAT